TGCATTCCAGAGAGAGAAAGAGAGAGAAAAGGCACTTCCAGGGGGCCTGGGAACACCACAATCCCTTCTCTGTTTCTTCATCCTGTCAGGATTTGGGGCATGCGTCCTGTGTGTTTTCCAAGCCACTGAGGCTGGAGTTGGAACCATGCAGTCGGCCATGTGGGATCCGACTCCCTTAACTGCTAGACCATGGGGCTGGCCCCATAGTTTCATAATAGGCAAGTTCCTTGAGCATTTGAAGACCTCGCATAGGACATGCATCAATGTGTTTAAAGGTTAGCGTAGTTTGGCCAACGTAAGAAAGTTTCACTTTGTAAATAAAAAAGTAGGATAAGAAGTTGTATAAACAGTAGACTGTGATTGTACAGTTGTCAGATTTGTGTCATTAGAAAAATGACAAGGAAAGAAAACAAGAGCCTAACAATTAGAAATATAAACAACGTGGCGCAGAAGAAAAAGGAACGGTAATCGCAAAATGTAATCCGACCCTAATGCGTGTACTGTTTTCACCACTTTAGGTAATGTCTGGACTGAAACATGCCTCTTCAAAGGTTGCAGTAGCTCTCAGACAAGGTCCTGTCCACCCTCTGAGACGACCAGAAACGTGCTAATCTTACCCTCCAACAACAGCACCGCTATTATATAAGATGAACTTTATAATAAGAACTTCATACCCAGCTGGAGACTGATAGGGTAACTCTACTCTGTGATCAGAATACGAGGCTTAACATCCTTGCTCTGTGACATTGATAAAATAACTTGCCTTATTCCTGGCCTCAGTTTCCCTATCTGTACTGGGATGGTGTGAATCATGGACTCTAAAGGGCCTCCCAACACCAACACTGATGGCTTTGATGTGACCTTCAAAGCTTTTGTGCCAATGTCACCCTCAGGACCACCCTAAGTGAGGTGGCGAATGCCAGGGATCCTGGCATACCAAGGTTCTGTCCCAAGGTGATACGGCAGACCCAGGCTTTCAAGTCTGGTTCCAAGCCCAAATCCAACCTGTCCCTTAGTTCAGTGTCCTCCCCCCGGACTGGGATTCATTCTTCTAGGGTGGGAGGTGTCTTCCCACGGCTCAGGGCCGGGCTCCGCCTCCCCCGGCCTCGCCTGGCCATGTGGCCAATGCACCAGCACAGAGGGTGGCCCTGTGACTGCTGAAGACGCACCGTGGCTCAGGCTGTAGTACTCTGTCTATTTCTTCTTCTTCCAGACTTGCAAGCACTCTGAAGACAGGGGTTGCATCCAATCTGTCTTTTCCCCTAGTCCCTAGTGCACTCACAGGACCTAGAACATAGCACATGGGAATTCAGACATTGTGGGTAGACCAGATGATGCCGACATCCCTATTACTGAGGTAGATATTCTTGCTCATGAAGAAACCCAGGCTGCCTGGATCTGCCTCCTGGCCCCCAGTGAGACGAATGGGGAGGCAACGTGGGGGGAAGGTGAGGACAACAGCTAGAAGCTTCCTTGTCTTGAGTGAAGACCACACCTTTCCTGACAAGAAAAACAAGGCTTTCCTTGTTTTGCAATCTTATTCAAAATGGTAGAGCTTAAATACCAGTAGATCCAGAAATGAAAAATTGTATGTGACTGTTCATAATGGCTGTACTCATAATTGCCCCAAATTGGAAATAACCCCAATTTCCATCAGCAGGAGAATGGGTAAACGGAGTCCTATCCTTACTGGGGAACACCACCATGAAATAAAAAGAGCACAATACATGGATGAATCTCAAGAACAGCATGCTCACCGGAAGAAGTCGGATACCAAAAAGTGCACACAGAATGATCTCCTGTAAATGTACTTCTAAAATAGAACAAATTAATCGAGAGTAATAGAAATTAGAACAGTGATTGCCTTGGGGGTGGGAGGGGGTAGTTTGACTAGAAACAGCATACACGAGAAACGTTGCTATCTCGACTGGGGTGGAGGACGCAGAAATTACACTTGCCCAAACTCACTGAATGGTTCTTAGAAATCGCTACACGTTCTCATCTGTTAAATGAACCCTCCATTCTGAAACCGTGCAGGATCTGGAGCAGAGGCTTGCCGGCTTTCCATGGCTGGCTGTCTCCGGGATCAGACGCCAGGAAGGGAGGCTGTGATCTGCAGAGCCATAGCCAAACTGCTGGTTCCTCATGTCCGCCGGGGTGGCCCCAGCACGTGGGCCATTTTTCATCCAGGCACTTTGCTGGCACTTGGTGAACGCCTGTCTTTTCCTGGGCTCTGGCCCTCAGAAAACTCTCATCGCTCTTCGCTTGGCACCTCTTCAGCTTTCAAGCTCTCTGTATTTTCTCTTCTCCGGGCTAATCCCTGGGTTTTCCACCCAGGCTTCACTGCACATGGTTTCCAAACCCCCTCTTCTTGGAGTTCCTCTCCCCTGGATCAGTTCCCAGAGGCCCAGGCCCTTTAAAGGACTCGCTGAATGCTTTTGCTGGCAAATTGGACTTCTACCTCTCACGAGAC